ATAGAAACCCAAACTTCTTGTGACTGTAACCATATGTTAACACATATCAGTATTAATATAGAAACCCAAACTTCTTGTGACTGTAACCATATGTTAACACATATCAGTATTAATATAGAAACCCAAACTTCTTGTGACTGTAACCATATGTTAACACATATCAGTATTAATATAGAAACCCAAACTTCTTGTGACTGTAACCATATCGTTAACACATATCAGTATTAATATAGAAACCAAACTTCTTGTGACTGTAACATATTGTTAACACATATCAGTATTAATATAGAAACCAAACTTCTTGTGACTGTAACATATCGTTAACACATATCAGTATTAATATAGAAATCACACTTCTTGTGATCATTGCACATCATTAGCATATTTATTATTGAGATAGATACCACACTTATTTTGAATGTAACAAATCATTAATAAATATGACTATTAACATAGAAACCACATTTCTTGTGAAGGTAACAAATCATTAATAAATATGACTATTAACATAGAAACCACATTTTTTGTGAAGGTAACAAATCATTAATAAATATGACTATTAACATAGAAACCACATTTCTTGTGAAGGTAACAAATCATTAATAAATATGACTATTAACATAGAAACCACATGTTTTGTGAAGGTAACAAATCATTAATAAATATGACTATTAACATAGAAACCACATTTCTTGTGAAGGTAACAAATCATTAACGTATATCAGCATTAAGACAGAAATCACACTTGTCATTGTAACACATCATTAATACATGTAACTATTAAGATAGAAACTACACTTCCTGTAATTGTAACATCTCATTAACATGTATCAGCATTAATGTTTTGCATGAAATAATTTTATCAAAATCTCAACTTAATATAATCACCATCAAAATACTGTAAATATGATTTTAAGAGATTAGTTTTTTTAAAGATTGTTTGCTATTTACATGGGTTTCCTCACCTTATTTGTAGAAACACTGAGATCTGGAGTCAGTTTTCTTAGATCTTGGAAACCAGGAGACACGAAACTTGAATTAGCTGCCTCTGAGTGTGATGGGCACAAGACTTCACCACTATATATATAGTTTCTGATAAGGGTTATTTCATTTTCTCAAATACAGCAACTCACACACACAGGTAAAACAAACCAATTTATTAAAATAATAAATAATGCATTTGTTGAAATGGGTACACAATTAAAAACATTATCAATTCAGGCCAATCTACGGCCTCCAAAAAGTTGACTCTACAAGTTTCAACATCATGATCAGGAGTGATGAAATGATAAAACATGTAGAATTAACTTTTTCGAGGCCATTGAGTTGACTGAATTAAAAATTTTTTCATGTATCCATTTAATTATTGTAAGTTATTTATTATTTTAACATTGTACACAAGTATCAAGAAACTATACTTCAACAAATATATATATATAAACACATAATACACTTGCTTAAAAGGATGCAACATATCAAACAATGAAACATATGCTGGAAAGGGTAATAGAGTATTTCCCCAGCTATATACACAGGGCAACATATACATGATGGAAAAAGAAATTACTAACGAAGCTATGTACCATTAATCATAAAAATACCAATAAGAGAATATTACTCTATAACATTAAAAGTAAATATTGATTTCAAATTACATGATACAGACAGAGACTTAGTTTATGAAAATTACTGATTATCAAACTTAAAAAATTAGGTGAAATTAATTTGGAAAAATATATACTTGTACAGATATTAATAATGCATATAAAATATTAACAAAATAAAAATTTAAATTTCCATATGAAACAAATTCAAGAGACCATTAATCACTTAAGAAATAACGAAACTGACCAAAAGTTAGATATAATGTACAAAAAATATGCCTTTAATAAATATGAATTTAACTTTATATCATAGGGAAAAAAATAATCAGATTATAATACCCAGAAGCACAGATGGATGATATAACTGACAGAGCAAGAGATATAATAAAGGGAGCTAGCAGAAATGCAATTTTTGTAGTGCATGTAGAGGCTAATGATGTAGGAAAAGATAGAACAGAGGAGCTAATTAATAAGTACAAGGGTTGATAAAGGCATTTAAAGAAAAATGCCATAACGTAATTTTGTCAGGGATACTATTCAGAATAAACTGTGGGGATGAAGTTATAAGTAGGTGACTAATGCTAAATACTAAGCTTAGATTAGTAAATAAGGATGAGCAGACTAGTTTCTTGGACTTCTGACATCAGTCCAATAAAAGAAGGGAGCTACATGGAATGGATGTGTTACAACAGCGGAAGTCACGTGACACTGGTAACACGTCATGAGTTCTAGAAGGATCATCACTTTTCCTGGCAACTCTAGTCTTTTCTATGCAACCTCTATTTTGTATATATATGAGGGGCAAATAAAGTGGAGGAATTAATTAATAGCAGACAGGGAGATATAGAGACAGATAATTGAGTCAAGTGAGCGGTAGTGCTCGTAAGTAAAGAGCATGAATCATTGGGAATTATAGCGTGTGCTTAAGTTAAAGTGACTGTGGAAATTAAGTGTATTGGAAAGTTGTATTGAGAAAGATTAAACTAGTTTTATTTAAGAAAGGACTTGTACCTCTGTACTTCTTCGGAAATAATTTTTTACGGGAAGTTAACAAACGACCAGAGACATAACAAATTGGTGTCAGGAATGGGATAAAAAAAAGATGGAAATGAGAAGTGGCAAATCAAACTACAGTTTAGCAGATTTGATGGCAGCAATACAAGAACAGCGAAAGAAACTAGAAGAACGCGAAAAGAAACAAGAAGAGAGATTACAGCAGTTGTTGGAGGAAAAAGAAAAGAAACAAGAAGAGAGATTAGGCAGTTGTTGGAGGAAAAGAAAAGAAAAAAGAAGAGAAATTGCAGCAGTTGTTGGAGGAAAAAAAACGAAACAAGAAGAGATATTACAGCAGTGGTTGGAGGAAAAGAAAAAAATGTGATGCCATTCGGGCCCAGTAATGCTCCAGCAACGTTTGAGAGGCTGATGGAACGAGTATTGGAAGGCCTACAATGGAGGATAGCCCTAGTGTACCTGGACGATGTCATCGTATTTGCAACAACTTTTGACGAGGAAATGTCCCGGCTGGAGGAAGTATTCAAGCGTCTTAAAGCAGCAAACCTCAAACTCCATCCCAAGAAATGCCACTTGTTCCAGAAAGAGGTGCTTTACCTAGGTCACATTGTTAATGAGAATGGTGTACAAACTGATCCTGATAAGGTGAAA